CCCAATCAGTAACACACCCATGTCAGTACCAGCTGTACTTTGTCACTCTCTCTTATTGTTGACACAGTCATTCTGCTGTTTTCTGCTATTAACCAAAAAAATAAAATATGTAATTGTCATGTTATAGTCTTCTGTTATTTATCTTTTTTTGTTTTTTTAACCTGTACACCCTCTATGTCAATTTTCACTGTGGTAACAAAAATGGTATTGAATACTGATATTTTTCAAGGTACTGTATTGAAATGACAAATTCCAGTATCGTGACAACACTATTATATACACAAAATATCAAAATTCATTTTTCCCCCACTCTGTCTCACTGGTGACACAAGTGCAAATATTGTAGTGATTAAGGTTGAAAATAATGATTATTATTATCATTGATTAACCCCACTGCTTATTTTTGCAATTAATCAGCTGTGGTCTTGTTGAATCTATAAAAGTACAGCAATCACAAGTTCCCAAAGCTCACTGTGACATCTGCAGATGATTAGTTTAGTCTGACCAACAATCCAAAACCAAAAGATATTTCGTTTTCTCTGACAAAAGATGAAGGCAACTAGAAAATCCTCACATATGAAAAGGTGGAACCTGTGGCATTTGTGCTTAAAATATTTTTAGCAAAATTGTGGGCAAATTATGTTTGTCCATCACCTAATCAGTTAGTCAACCCATTGTCTCAGCTCTGAAACTAAGTACATGGATTTTGTCAAGTCAAAACCAGCAGAGAGTTTTGGAGCCTGGCGGTCCCAGAGTTGCTCCAGGAGGCCCCTAACATCACTACAGTTGTGCCTACTGAATTGTCTCCACAGTTTGGCTGTTTGCATATAGAAATAGGTTCAAAATCTCATTAAAAGGAGGTCTCTGGTTTAAATTGGGTCTCAGTCTGCAGCTTGAACTCAGCTAACATCCTCACGCAAGCAGGTGCCACTCCACGCACCGCGGGCAGATGCTGACATCTGGCCCGCAGCCTGTTAACTGTTGACAGCGTCACTTTTTTTTTTTACTCCCGCAGTCGACGGCGGTGACACTAAATGAGTCACACTGCACACCGGTGACAGTTAGGCCAGAGATCATGCATGTGACTATCAAAAAAAAAAAAAAAAAAAAAAAAAAAAAAAAGATGGAGACAGGCCTTCACAGTGGAGAAGTCTCACGATAATAACATTTAGTAAATTGTCATGTCCACGTTATGCGTAAAGCGCATTGGCCACTTACCCACTGAAATTGGCGTCGTTCTGCAGATTATTCCCGGTGTCGTCCATCCAAAAGTGACCGCATGTCTATAAAGTCTGTTGGTGTTATCTGATGAGCGGGTCTGGGCTTTTTAGCAGGGTCGACAGGCTGAAATGGGCGTGTATGAAGCTTCACTTCCTCGTCTGACAGCGCAGGGGCTGCTGCGAAGTGCGCGTAACCGTCCCCGAGACAATAATTTCAGCAGCCTCACCTCTGATTCTTTGCCTTTAGCCCCTGCAGAGAGGCAAAAACGCAAAGTTGCGGTGCAAGGTAGGCCCGTTTATGATGTGCATGGGCTTGTGTGTGTCGCACTTTGATTAGGATTTCATCACATCCCAGGCTTTTCCCGCGGAGCAGTCCGTGAATCCAGCAGCCAGGGGGGATTATGGTGCCCGTCGTTCTCTGGTGTACCACCACCGTCACACCTGCCGGGTCTGAAGTGGGAATCAGCCCGGCTCGGGGCCACCGTGTAGCGGCTGCGAGGGGCCTGGTTAGTCCGCTGGTGGAGAAATGCAATGGACGGCAGTTTTCACAAGGCGACGGCGGCGAGACAGCACCACTCAGAGCTCAGGAGGACCGCAAAGACTCTCATACTGTACAAGCAGGCTGCAGCATGCCAACTGTACAGTGTCACACTATGGAGGAAGTAGCAATACCACAACATAAAATACGCCATTATCCTGCATTCAACAGTTTGCATCAGTAAAATTACCAACTTATTATTAGCTAATGTATTTCAAGCATCAAAGATTAGTACTCTTTATGCAGTGTTACATCACATTATTCATGGGGGGATTATGAGACGATGGGCCCCCGGGCACAGGCATGCAGAATGCTACATATGAGCAAGACACACAGACTTTGTGGTCGTTTTGCCTCTTTTTTTTGTTTTGTGTCTCTTTGGAGTTGTGCTGTGTCTCTTAAAGGTTTTTTTTCCTTTTGATAATTTCTTGTCTCTGATTGTAGCTGGGGGAGAAGTGTGACTGATTACCCAGGGCCCCACCTGGAGGGGGGCCCTCAAAAAGTCTGGAATGAAAAGTTTAGTTTTCTTTGCATTTTTTATTTCTCAGCTAATTAGTGCCATAGCTAAATTAAAATTGGCTGAATAAATTGGTTGAAATACTGAACTTAGTCAAAAAAAAAATAGTGGAAGCTCTCTGAGGCCCCTCTCACCCCTTAAAGGCACAAAATGCTTTAGTCCACCCCTGCACAGGATTTGTCTCTAGCACACAGCTAGAGCCATGTGCGTGACCGCTTGTGTTGCTGGTGCACCAGACTGTCATGTCCTCCCCCAGAAAGGGAAATCAGGATTCCAGAAAAGAAAAGAAAAGAGAAAGACAGCAAACTGACTTTGTGGTCTGGCAGAGGACCCCCAAAATCCCCATTTTAATTTGTGGCCTGGACCAGCAAGTGACACTGGACCAGTTTTCTCCTGGTCGGTACGTGTTAATTTGAGTGACATTTTCCAGCTGAAATATTTAGAACATGTGCTTTTGTGTTGCCCGATACAATCATAGAATTAACAGAGGAATTTTATCTTGACAAAAATAAAGACAAAAAAATGAAAACATTTACACTGTAATTTAATGCAGAAAAGTCTACATTTTCTGGCAAAGGACCCCCAAACCACCATTTCATAGGCTGTGCATGTAGCTTTCAACCATCTCAGACACACAAAACCTTTCATTTAAAACCCCAAATCTCTTCGTTAGGTAACTTTAATTATTCTTCGTCTTCTCTTCCTTTTTAAAAACTGTGCCTTTGTTCTTTGTTTGTAATGTTTGTTTTTAATCCTTTTAAGTAGCTACTTTGTAACTTTGAAAAATATCAAAGAAAAAGTGTATTACATTCTAACTATCAAAACAAAATCTAACTTATAGTAGTTTATTTTGGTGTGTGTATATTACTAAAACAAGACAAATACATACAGTATATTTATATTCTATGTTGTAGCCTGGCCTATAATCTGACGGTATGTGGTCACGTGAGCTGTGTAGAGTCGCGTGTCAGTAATCGGATGAGCCTCTGTCATTGGCAGACTGGACTTGGCTCTGAGCGCCTCGGACACCTATTGACAACATATACTCTGCTGCGTCACTGACTTTAATCTGCAGCTGCGTCAAATAGCTCAGACAGTCAGGACCATACCGGAAACCTGGCAGCCCTGCCTTCAAAATAATTGTAGAATTTCAAATGTGTTTCAGGGTGACTACTTCATCGATGCACACAGAAAAAGGGCACAAAACAGTCAATCATGTCGCACCCAGTCCACAAAGCAAAACAGTGATGTCTCTGCACGTTTCAGTGTACAGTGACATGATGGTTTTCTGTTGGTCCTCACACACAGAACAGAAATTTCAATGCAACAACTTTTGCTCCCATTTTACAGGGTTAAGTTTAAGATCAAAGTGTTTTTTTTTTTAAATTGGTTTGCAGATTTGTTAAAATCCATCTTAGTGAGCTTCTCCTTCTCTAACATGATCTATCCACCTGACAGGTGGCATATTAAAATACTGACACAGTGTCATTACTACACAGGTGTGTCTTGGGATGGTCACAACAAAAGGCCACTCTATACAGTGACATAGATGTCACAAGTTCTGAGGGAACGTGCCATTGGCAGGCTGCCTGCAGGAATGTCCACCAGAGCTGTTGCCTGTGAACTGAATGTTCATTTCACAACCATAAACTGTCTCCAGTGTCGTTTCTGATCAGCATCAGTGTCTAAAGGTTCAGTGTCTTTTTGGGGCGAAATATATACAGTGGTAGTAGGAGCACTCGGGGCAGTGACCCCCAAACTGGGAGACTGGCTCTGGCAGATATTCCAGGAACAACATCTGAAGCCTCAGACCAGAAGTGTGCAGTCCTAGGAACAGCTAAGATACTGTGCAGAACCCTCAAACTTACTGATACGGGTGAGAGGGTGGATACTTTATGGATACTATTACTTGGATAAAAGCACAAAAAATGCTCTTAGGGCTGCAACAGAAGCACCAGAAAATACTCAAATTTGAGAAACTGAAATCTGATGTTTGCTTTAAAAATAATCATTTGCTTGTCAAAATTGTTGCAAATTATTTTTTGTTTATGCATCTAAAGCCAGTTTATCGTGAGGGCTGGTTGGTTGGACTTCTGCTATGCTAAATAGTCCCTGATGATCTGATTTGATAATAACATTAAGAAATGAACACTGATAACATCAGCCTGGAGGAACAGAGAGATGGGCTGGCTAGGATACTGTCCGTTGAGTATCTTATCTGGACAATTAATAACAGTTCAAAGGTTTTCATAAATATCTGATATTTGTGTATCCTTTCCTTGTTCTCTGTACATCATATAGGCTAATTATTTATGCTCACTGGATGAACGTAAGGGGTAATATTGTTATATGACTGTGTTACACACTGCCAAGAGGAACGTGCATGTCTCTTTGAATTGTTTTAACTTCTGTGTTGATTGTAAGTTTGTAATGAATGCACAAATTCTGCAAAAGCAATTAAAAGTTTGATCATAAAAAATTAACACGGATGCAGTCACTGATAAGCTAAAACATAACGTGCACCAGATGTCCGCACTTGCAACCATCACCATAAACCCTTAGCATGCATTTTTATTTTCTTCAGGCTACTTATTTTCATTAAACAGTTCCTCCTCATTTTGGTTCGATTATTTGTCTTTTATTTTGAAAGTCCGTACCAGAACTTCCACCCCGATCTGTGTGACTTGACACTTCAGTTGCTAGGGCGCAAACTCCATGGCAACCACACCACTGAGAAGGAAAGTTTAGATTTTAGGTTTTTTGTTTTTTAATTGATAAGCATGCAGAAGATGACGTCTCTCTTCCATAAACTCAGAGGCGACACTTTGACATAAAAAAATGCCAGCCACAAAAGTTATTAAGCCAGAACCAGTGGAAGCTGCGAGAAAGACCCTCGAGAAAACCAAACCGGTGAAGGTACGGGCGGTTAACGGAGGACAAAGTGAACTCAAAGTACCGGCTGTGCGTAAAAGTCGCGCGTCGAGCTGCCCGAGGTATCCGCAGCGGGACAGGTGTGAGCATCGCACCGGAGCGCAGGGCGCCGCAGTCCAAAGAAGCTGTGATAGGAGGACCAGGTCCAGCTCCACCGCCCCCAAACCGTCCACAAACTGCCCCAGGACAAACCCGGACTATCGGAGGGCGACCAACTCTGTGATACATGCTGCCGTTAACCCAAAATGCCAGGAGATGATCGCCTGTCAGAAGGAGCAGCGGGGGGTCAGGGCTGAGACGAGGCACGCAAGTCAGAGGTGAGACAGAAGACATATGTCTGGGTGTCCTTTAAAACAAGAATCTGTAGTTAGTGTCCTTCCACCCCATGTGGGAACATTGATTTGTATGTAATATAAGGGGTTTTTGTCCCATATGTTCTTACAAATTTCTTTAGTGGTAATAAGATGGTGAAAAGACTGAATAATGGTATTTTTTTAGCATACAAAATACATACTTGAACTGTATAATAGTTGTTAGGTGGGTTAAATAATCACTGCAGAGAGTGTATATTTTGCCATTTTTCCACGTTACCACGTTTAGGCTGTTTGCATGGAGCATTTGAGGTCTCATGAATGTTTTCATTAAAGGGACAGTTCACCCCAAAATCAAACATACATATTTTTCCGCTTACCTGTAGTGTTATTTATCAGTCTAGATTGCTTTGCTGTGAGTTGCAGAGTGTTGGAGATATCAGAAATAGAGATGTCTGTCTTCTCTCCAATATAATGGAACTAGATGGCACTCGGCTCGTGGTGCTCAAAGCACCCCAAAAATACATTTGAAAAGCTCAACAACAATGTCTCTTTTCAGAAATCACGACCTGGTTACTCAAGATAATCTACAGACCATGTTGTGAGCAGTTTCATGTAGGAACTAATTTCATTCATGTACTCATGGATGAGAGGCTTTGCTTGTGACAGTGTAAAATGTAAACATTAGGGACTGTGCCCACCAGAGCGTTTTTTTTCTACTGAGGTGGGCATAATTATTTTGCAATGGGAGCACCGTGTCTTTACGCTGAACTACAAAGTAGGACGAGGTGCTGGGCAGGAATTCTACACCAAGCACTGCCAGTTGGGCAACATATTGACCTCCACAGATATTCCACATCAGAGCAACCAGATGTAACCAAAGCATCTCAGCTGAAAAATTGCAGTGGCTCCAAAGCATTCTGTAACACACACAGCTGGGTGTTGTCTGTGGAGTGCCTGGCATTTTCAACTGGGAAAAAGACCCTTTGGTGGACCCAGGGCCTTCATGGTCTCCTCCTTGGCTGAGCTGTAACGTTTGCAAGCTGAGTGGCACCAGGTGAGCTAGCAGTAGATTCATGCTTCTTTCTGCGTGGTGATATAGTTGGTGGGTGCAGTTTGGTAGAGAGAAAATAGTTCCTAAATGAAACTGCTCACAACAAGGTCTGTGGATTATCTTGAGTAACCAGGTCATGATTTCTGGAAAGTGAGACTGTCTATGTTTACACACACACTAATATTTCACCATTATTCTGAATAAGACAATATTCTGAATTTAATGGAGCTTATGTAAACAGCATATTCGTTTTGGATATTCCGAACTAGGGCTTTTTCTGAATTTAGTATTTTCCAGTGAAGATGTGGGATATGCTGATATTATTAGAGTTTCAGTAGCATTATTTGGACATTTATACAGCACATTCACAATATGCGTCTCAGTATTTGATTTTTACGGCAGTTTGCAACACACGGTCTCTTAGCTGTTTGCGGTCAGCTGTGTGCGTTGTGTACAAACCAAGTTGCCAACAGTTTGCAGGGCTGTGGGGCAGGAGATGCGTGCTCAAAAGAAAAGCAAACATTACTGGTTAGAAGGAAAAACACCTACTTTTAAAAATGATGAAAGACTTAGATATTAACATGTTTTTGAATATGACAATTTTTGCAGCACTGATATTTTCTGTGTTAGCACAGTCCAACAAGTCCACCAGCAGTAGGAAACTTTGAAAAAATCCTATTTTGATGGAAAGAAGCAAAATTACAAGCGTCGCTAGCTGTTCCACTTTTACCACATTTTGACAAGATAAACAACATGTTGGGGCATGTAAATCCAAGTGTGCACGGCTGCATGTTAAAAGGAATATTAGTGGAATATTCTTTTTCATTATTCATGTTAAGAGCTTAGTAGGAATATTGTCTTTGTCAGAATAAGGCTGATGAGTTTTTCAAATGCTGAGTGCCATCTAGTTCCATTATATTGGAGAGAAGACAGACATCTCTATGGCCAATATCTCCAACTCAGCAAATTTAGCTTTAATTCAATTCAATGTTTTTATTTGGTTTGTTTGCAGCTCTAAGCCTGAGATTCACCAAACATAATTTTGTTGTATATCTACAATGACAATTAAGTGTCTTATATCTGTCTTTGACAGATATTTTACTTGTGGTTTTCACACCCTTATCTGTGTGATTACTTTTAGTTTGAATGGATCAAAATGACTAATCAGATAATCACACTGTCTTAATTTGCCTTGTGAATCTCTGCAGCCTGGAGAAAATGAACCTGCAAGTCTTGAAGACAAACACAGCTGTAGATTTTTTCACGGAACAGTTTACTATTGGATAAAGGCGGAAAATGATCGCTGATAAAGGAATGATTGGGCATTTCATTGTCTCTATACAGAAAAAAACAAAGTTCTTAATAATCTTAGTGAAATTTTAGAAATGTAGGAATTTTATGTTTTCCATCTTGGAGTAGATGTGTGTTGGGGCACACTCATGCCAGAAATGAGCTTTGAGGAGTAAAACAAATGCTTTCATGCCCCGAAGCTTTAATAATATTCAGTGTCTCAGGTTTAATGTCATGGCATTTCTTATTCTTTAGTCCAGAGTGAAAAGAGACAAAAATAAAACAGGCCTTTCAGTCTGATTTCAGACTTGTCGGCTGCTCTCCAGCTTTAGGGAGTGTTTACTTTAAAAGGCAGGTAAACTGTCCTGCAGTATCCTCCTCCTCCTGTTGCTGTCTGTGGCCATCTGTTGCAGTGGATTAATCCCACATGCTTTACCACCCACTGGCATGACAGACCTGCAGGTGAAATGCTGTTTGTTTGACTGTTTGAGATTTCACTTCTACCAGGAACCACGTGTACTGTGGTACTGTGATGATCATTGTCTCCAACAAACATCATATGTAAGGATTTTTTATTGCCCAAACATTAAAAATATTCAGTATTTCGCAAGTAAAAATAAATAAATAAATAAATAAACATCAGAAAATAAAGAAGAGGAAGAAGATGTACTTCATTAATCCCAGAGGGGGAAATAATTTTTTTCCCACTCTGTTGCCATACACACAGGCCCAAAATACACACACATGCTCAAACAATGCCTTTGCATGCATTTAATGGAGAGATGTCACAGCGAAGGGGCAGCCTATTGACAGGCGCCCCGAGCAGTTTGGGGTTCTGATCTTTGCTGAATGGCACCTTGGCAGTGCCCAGGGGGGCAAACTGGCATCTCTCCAGCTACCAGTCCACGCTCCATACTTGGTCTGTACGGGGACTTGAACTGGCAACCCTCTGGTTCCTGAGGCAAGCCCCTATGGACTGAGCTAATGCCGCCCCAGATGAAGATAATTTTTCACAAAGGAAATATTCTCTTTCTGTTATATCCCGTTATACATCTGGTGAGCTCTCCGATTTTGGGATCCTTGTTGGGATGGGAACCAGTGGTCTATCATATAAAACAGTAAATGTGGGAAAGGTAACGCCTGCACACTTAACTCTATGCCACAGAAGTTTAAAAGTGACGTCCAAGACTGCAGCCATGGAGTCAACATTCCCTGCTGTATTATATTATGTAAGCAAGCACAGCTATACAGTATATGCTGTACCAGTGATCGTCAACTGGCCACCACATTCGGCCCACCAAAGCTTTCCATACAGCCTACAGAATATGAATTAATTCAGAAAATGTGAGGAAGAAGAAAATGCATTACAGTATTTAGGATATCTACTATTTTCCTATATTGAAGCGACCCTCAAAACTAGGAATGATTTACTAACCCCAAATATGCATGTTTGACCTGTGGGTACTAAAGACATTATAAATCCATCTGCCAGCTAATTATTAGTGTTAGTGATGCAGCAGGATCAGGCAAGCTTACTTGAAAAATATCACATGTCAAAAAGTGACAGCAGCGTCCTGAGTAAGTTATTAATAACTTTTAGAAACACTGCATGCAATTGTTCTCCTTTCACTGTCTCCTCCCCTCTCTCTGTCACTTTCTCCCTGTATCTCTCACACACATTAACTCTGCTGCGCTCAGTCCAAGTCTCTGTTCTTAATCCTGACAACGTGCTACTGTAATGCATAAAGTTCAGGGTTTACAGGTCGGATTGGGTTTTGGTGGTCGATTAAACCATATTTTGCTGGTTGGCCAGTTTGTATTAAATTTGGGAAGCTGAGACAAATTCCCATCCTATAAACTTTATAAATGGGATGCTGCATGTGCCATATCTTCATGCAAAAATGGGGACAAACTCATAGCTCTTAATTAACATTTTGTTTTATTTTATTTCTGCATGCTCTTATTAAACTTTTTTTTTTCCACTTTACATTATCATAACATCTTTACACATTGGCATGCAAAGGTTTGGGCACCCCTGGCCAAAATTCCGTATACTGTGAGTAGTTAAGTAGAAGATGAACTGATTTCCAAAAGACATGAAGTTAAAGATTAAACATTTCTTTAATATTGGAAGCAAGATTGTTTTTTAATTTTAATCTTTTACAGTTTCAAAATTACAAAATAGGAAAAGGGTCTGAAGCAAAAGTTTGGCCACCCTGCATGGTCAGTACTTATTAGCGCCCCCGTTGGCAGGTACCACGGCTTGTAACTGCATTTTGTAACCAGCTAAGAGTTTTTCCGTTCTTGTTTGGGGGATTTTCACCCATTCTTTTCTGCTTAAAGCTTCTAGTTCTGTGAGATTCATGGCCCGTCTTACATGCACTGCTCTTTTGAGGTCTATCCACAGATTTTTTTTTAATGATGTTTAGGTCAGGGGACTGTGAGGGCCATGGCAAAACCTTCAGCTTGTGCCTCTTGAGGTAGTCCATTGCGGATTTCAAGGTGTGTTTAGGATCATTGTAGGAGCCATCTTTTCTTCATCTTCAGCTTTTTTACAGATGGTGTGATGTTTGCTTACAGAATTTGCTGGAATTTAACTGAATCCATTCTCCCTCCACCTGTGAAAAGTTCCCCGTGCCACTGGCTGCAACACAAGCCCAAAGCATGATCCATTCTCCCCGTGTTAAACAGTAGGACAGGTGTTCTTTTATGAAACTCTGCACCCATTTTTCTCCAAACATATCTTTGCTCACTGCATCTAAAAAAGTAATAAAAAAAGTAAATAAAATAAAGTCTGGCCCCCACAGTGTTTGCTTTAAAAAAGTAAAATTGACAAATCTCATTGATGACCCCTGCTCTTTACAGTATATGCATTGCAACATAATGGATTTACATTTTACTTCACACGGGATATCAAAAAATAGAACAAATAAAGACATTAACGCTAGCTGAATACAACTGTGAGCACCATTGTTGGTCGCTGCGTGGGATGTGAGGCTAATTAACTGCAAGTAACTCTGATAGCTAACGTCGGTGGTGGCAGATTTATCAGGACTCAAAAATCAGCCTGTTTTCACGAAAACCATTTGTTTCCATTCTATCACTGACACTTTTTCGCAAAATATTATTTATTTCCATAATTACATTTCCAGGACATAATTACGTATTGATGTGATCCAACCTTTTCATGCACGTCCTGACTAAGTGAAGTGTTATTGTACTTTGTTACAATAATTTCCCCTCAACAACTGATGACAACAGATCAGGAAAAAAGGGATGGGAACAGGTCTTAAATTTATGCAACGCTAACAAGTGGAATATGCTTAGAATGTATCGGCTGTTTATTGGCTAATGCAGGAAAGGAAGGCTAGCCAACGCTCTGACAGGAACCTAGCATTACATTGTGAGAATATAAAATTATCATTTTACAAGTATGTTTCTGTTTCAGTCACAAAGCTTTCACCATCATCCCCCCGAACCCCAAGAAAAGAAGAGAGATCCAGAGAAGTAAGTCATCATCTGGTGTGTGAATCAGAGAGGATTTATATCATTGTTTTCCATGTTAAATTAATTGTTATGTGACATGTGATTGGTTGAGCAGAGGCGGAGGCGGAGCTCGCCGCATTAGAGGAGCTTCGTCTGAGCAGAGCAATGGCTTATGTCTCCATTAACCCCAGCAGTGTTGGTGAGACACATACAAGAGAAGATTTATCATCTTTAATATGTTTCTTGTTGTACATTACTGACTCTACAGGTCTGTGTGTGTGTGTGTGTGTGTGTGTGTGTGTGTGTGTGTGTGTGTGTGTTAATAGGTGGCTGTATGAGTCTGGAGGAAGTGCGCTTGAAGCAGCAGCAGGAAATGATGCAAGCCAAGAGGAAACAGAAACCGGTCTGACATCTTAAAACTCACTTGCATTCAATTTTACATTTCAAGCATTCAGCTAAGATTAAAAATGATAGTAATTTTCAAAGTGCACACCAAACATTTAACATTTATTATAATGACAATTATTTTGAGATAGTTTGATAGTTGTGTAATGCATACAGCTCTACCCATCCAACCTGGGCTCACAGGACATGACAAATTAATCTGCATGCAGTGCATAGAGATTTAAACAATACTACAGAGAGCTGAAAAATACACAGAACCAATTCACATGTTTTATAATAATTAAATATGTATCCTGGAAAAATCAAAATATAGGATAATTAAATAGTTAATCTTGCCTTCTTTTTCATGGTTTTTAGACCACATTAAAAAGGAAAAGTTCACCAGCAAGATGACCAGTTACCCACTGCATGTTACTCACTGCATTTGTGAAAAAAACTTTGTTCTTCTAGCCTGCCTCAGCAGTGAACAGAGGAAAAAACATTCAACATTCTTCATTAAGTGAAGTAGTGATTATAACTGTTTAACAACTGTAAAACTGTTAAACAAAACAAACTCTCACACAACTTTTTCAGTATAATCCAAGTTTCATTTATCCATTTTCACTAAAACCTTACAATATAAAACACTCTCACCTATAAGAGTAGTACACCCGCTCTCGCAGAAAGAAATGGCCATATAGGTCGACTGTGCAAGCAATTTATCACGACCCACAGAGTGCTCCAGGGATGGGGTTTTTCCGTATGCTGACGAAGAAGTTAGCAACATCCTGGTTCCCTCATTAAAAGGTTTATGGGATTTTTACACTGGATTTTGGATTATAGTGGAAAAAACGGTCTGTGGCAAACAAACGCATATGATACCACGTTTTGATTAGCAAGATAATCTTCACAGATTAACACTGCTTTTAAGAATTCCGAAGCGTAAATTCAATCGCCAGAGATAAAAAGCTAAGGCCAGGCTGTAAAAACAAAATACACTACGGTGCACATGACTTAACTTTGCCCCCACAACAAGGCAATGAAGTCATGTTTGGCATGATTACATTCTGTAGTCTCATTTAGCCACTTGTTAGCAACCGCCTTTTAAAGACACATCAAAGCTTCAGAATTCACGTAGGGTATTTAGTGATGTATTTTATGCCGTAGAATAAAATGTAAACATCTCTGAAGCTCATTTTTTGGATACTATATTCAGCATTAAGGCATGCAGAGAAAAACCATGTTTCTTTCATAAATTCAACATAACACGTGGTAAGAAATTGTTATATAAATTGTCAGTTTGCAGGTGTAATATTCCTTTCAGTAAAAGTAGCAATACTACAGCATAAAAATAATCTGTTACAAGTACACACCCTGCCTTCATAATTGCACTTAATAAAAAGGCACAAAAGTATTGGCATCATAAATATACTTTACGTACCAAAAGTAAAAGTTCCCATGCAGAATGGCCCATTTCAGAATGTATTATTGGATTACAGTAATTGCAACTTAAATGTTGCAGCCGGTATTAATATTGCTTAACTACAGTACAGTAAGTAAATAAGTAAGTAGTTTAGTTTTTTTGCACCACTGGTAGAAATATTAGTGTAATTCAGTGCACATTTTTATGCTTAAATAATTCATGGTATGTATTTGCCTTGTTGTTGTTTCAGATGAAGAAACAAGTAATGGAGCAAACATCTGTACTGAAATGCTAAGCGTCACTTCTCCGTCTGTCTCTGCTGGGAGCTCAGCTCCTCGCTGTGGCTGTTGAACACAGTTTTAAAAATATTCAAATACAAAATGAAATGTAAAATTTCATTATTTGTATTGAAAGCATGACATAGCTCTAGCTATAGTTATTCTGTATGTTTTGTAAATAGTTGTTTAGTATGTTATACATTGTGTATTTCCCATAGAAAATATGTCTCATATACAAACCATACAGTTTAAAGGGGTTGTTCACCCAAATTACGAAAATAATTTTAACTTTTTTGTTTTCTCACTTATCACTTGAAGAATCTGGAAAAACACAAACTGGCAACCCAAAAGTTTTTTTTCTTAATGTTTGGCAGCATTACAAATGAAGCATTACAAATGGATAAAACAAAGCCATTTAATCTTACAAAGCCTTATTATTAGAAAGTGGTGCCCTCATTTGACTTAAGAATTGATTTGTGGCTCATTTCAAGATGTAAATACTTAATTAAAAACTTTACTCCTGATGGAAACTAGCCATGTGGATAGCTTTAGTTTAAGCTGTCCAAGTTCTGAAATGTTTGTCTTTAAGATTTGTGTTGCTGCCGCCACCCACATACAATTGATGTTATTGGACTGCACCCATTTAAAAAAAACACATTTTAGAAACTCAGAAGCAGTGAGTTTCTCTAGAAGTGATGTAGAAGTGTTGTCCTAGTTACAGTAGATAATTTACAGAACAAAAATAAAGCATTCCTCTTAAGTCTGATATCATGTCAGTTTAAGTGTACACTGTATTGAGAGAATTTTTACAGCTTTACCTTGCTGTCAGACAGTGATTTCCAACAGAAAATTAAGTTCCTACAAGCTTTCTTTAAAGTCAGACTCAGTTAAGAAAAACATAAATTTAACATTGCTGAACACAGGAGCTGCTGGTCTACTGCTGCCTTGATCAGTCAGGATGTTTATATTATTGTGTGACTTTGGCATTTCAAGGAGCTGATTCAGATTCACCAAAGTCACACAATAACACAAATTAACTAACTGATCGAAGCAGTGGTAGACCAGCAGCCCCTGTGTTCAGTGAGCTAAAATTATTGTTTTTCTCAATGGAGTCTGGTGGCTTTGAGCATTTATGGGGAACTAAAGTTGTTAGCTGCTTCCCAGTCGAAATGGGCTGTCTTTTGGAAAGGTAAAGCAGTAAAAATACTCTCAATATAGCGTACACTTAAAGTGATATCGATTTTTTTAGGTGGCTAAAATACCTTTTGTCACTGACCCCATCCACAGCAGTACATTGCTTAACTTTTGTGTTGTACGCCTGCCTACTTCTCCAAACTGGGGTGTACTGACTGACATCTATTGTAGGTAACACACTGACCTCATAAGTACCTCATACAACCCCACCTGAAAAAAACAAACAATCCCTTTAAAGTGGGCCTATAAAGTTGCATAAAACACTCAAATAATGCAATCTCATAATTGTTCTCAACAACAGTAGGTGAGTAAATCTACTTTATTACTTTCCAGCATTGCAAAATTGACATTAATTACAGATGCCCGTAGCAGGCACACACAAACACACTCTTTAAGTGTTGTTAATTTTTCCTAAAGGTTCCTGAGTTTTTGTGTTGACTTAGATTGTTAAAAGTAGCATTATTATTATTCTTTTTTTATCTTATTGAAATCTACACCTGTGAAGCAGACATCAAAGGGCATTGACAAATATGCACATCATATATTTACACAGAAAAATTCCCCATAGTAGTTTAAATGTTGATCCTTGGACAGCTTTCACTCTTGTACCTTATTCAAGGCGTGGTCTGTAAACACATCATGCCATTCTTACATAGGGCGTGTATTACGCAGATGATTGGCAGAGATGTAAAGTGAGTCACTGTAAATGACTTCAAATCTGTTGTGCACTTTTTCACCTGTACTGAAACAAAACCAAGGCCAATAAAAGGAGCATGTGCAGTAAATTAATAACACTGATGTGTGTGTTTGTATTACTCATGTTGTGTCTCCACAAGCTTTCTTTTACTTTTAAGGATGATTTTAAAATTGTATCTCTGACACACAAGGCAAGGCAAGTATATTTATAGAGCATATTTGAAGGAGCTGTTGTGCCCTCTGACCTTTGGGAGGACAGATATTCAGAGCGAGGATTTCTGGCTGCTCCAAGGTCAAATCTGAAAAGTCATATTGATCATACTTTTGTTTGGACTGTGGAGCAGCCTCCCACCAAGTTTCAGAGAATCTTGAAACCCATTTTTTATGCCTCTGGGCCAGTGATGGCAGTGGAGGCATTACGTCTCCAGCTTGTCCCTCCGTCTGTCCGTTTTTCCATCCCTCCGCCCATTCATCTTTTCTTTTCTTCTTTCCTGTAAAGCACTGTATAACTTATATCAGAATTTTTTTTTAATCAAATTGGGGGAAGTAGCGCATTTGTTGGGGACTATTTTTAGCAGCGGATTAATCCACATTATATAGTATGCACATTATAGGAGTATTTGTGGCCGCAGGGCGGTGTATGGGGACTGAGTCATAAACTACTGTATGTGTGTGTTCATGGTGATGGAGGAACATATCACCCAGTTCAACAGTGTGGTCCACTGATGGGTTTTTATCAGTTTTGGGACAACATCAGGATTTGATACACACACAATACTTGTTGGGAAATACATTCACTGTTGCTTTTGGTCTTTTTTTAAGGTTTTTGATGACAGTAAGTAAAATAAAAAATATCACCTAAGTTTTCCTTTAAGAGTTGGGGGTAGGCATATAGGTTAGGGTCCGTCTCCAGGGAGTTAATTTCAGTTAATTAATTGTCTGTGCTGGGGAGTCACTACTTACATTTAATGGAGTTACATAATTAAATTACATAATAACTCTAATTTTAGTCTGTAACAGTTACTGAGAAAAAAAGTGGCCTATGTAATTAAATTACAATTACTGATCAAAATGGTAATCACAAAGGGGTTACATCGAAATATATTATTTTCGATAAAAAGCTTATATGTAGAATATAATAGTTATGTGTAAAAGTAACCTTCCCAACACTGTTCATTGTCCTGTGTGACAAGTTTGTGTGTGTTTCTATCATTCTCTCCTCCACCAGCAGAGGTCGTTTTCTGCTTGTTTCAGAAGCAGTGAAGGTGCACACAGGGTGGAACACTGATGATGACCACATTGCATATTGTGTAAATGATGACTGACGTTTGTTTGGAGAACATCTGGCTCCCTGTAGGAATAACCTATCATAAAGAAGTTATGTTATTATATTATAATCGCACATAATTTAAAATGCGAAGAGATAAGGTCACAGCCAAACATCACGAACCACTGGACAAACATCTTTGTTTTCACTGGGATGATTCTTATATTACAGTCACAGATTAAAGGACGGCCAGCTAAATGTCAGCATCGTGCGTCTGTCTCAGGCATGCATAATTAAAATGTCATATTAGGTGACTGAGACAGCCAACTACGCATGCGTGTGGGAGATATTGCAATATCTGTAGTTGAAGCAGCTGTAATTGTTTTGTGTAGCCATAATTGTAGTCCAATAGAGACGCCATTCAGTGACGCTGATGCTGCATTCAGGGAGTCCTCGCAAGCTCCGACTTTTTTAATGCCGAGTACTGAAGAGGTGAGCATATTATGCTATGGATGTATGTCTTTCAGGCAGTATTGTGCTTTCAACTAACTGTAGCTCCTGTAGCAAAGTGTATCTGTTTTAGTAGTCAGTCAGCAAACAATAATTCTAATTATTTACTTTAAGTGCCGCATTTTTGTTGCTGTATAAATCTTTAAAATTTTGAAGTTCGCCTCTTTTATCTCAGGAGGACGTGGGAATTTAAAATAGGGCCTATATTTTCCTTTTCTTTCTAAACCTCTTCAACGTCAGATTCTTTGAGAAAATATTTTCTTCTTACCGTGTTAGGGAAACATGACTTTAATGAAAAGTTTCTAATGACTGTGTTGGCACATTTATTGTCCCAAAAGTCAGTTCCTTTGATGCAAAGCTGTCTCAGCCCAGGAGAGACCTTATAGTACAGAATGTCTTCTATCAACCAATGATCTCAGAGATATGGCTTTTATCAGTCTATTACAGTTCTTAACAGAACACTGGAGTTGGAATTTCTGACAAAACTCCTCATGCTGTAATAAATTATCATCCATAAAATGAGCGACAGCCCAGATCCCTTTTGAACTCCTTTCCCCAATGTTCACAGATTGACTGCTGAGCAGAAGTGGTATAATGTAACAACATGATAATAGCCTACTTTGTAACAGTACTTAAGTATTTTTAGGGAGTATCTGTACTTTACTTGAGCTTTTATATAATCAGCTGTCACTTCTACTCCACTACATGTCCTACATTAAATGTAGGCCTATACATTTACTATTCACTGAAAGCATCAGAATCAGGGAGGGATTTATTACCAAGTAGGTTTTCATTTGGAATTTGCTTTGGTTATGGTGCATACATTAAAAATTACCACAAACATATTAAAAGGAATAAAAATAAAGAAAGTAGGCTACTGCAACACTGAAGACACCCAATAACATCAATGTAGAAGAGAAATATTACAATAAAACGACTATAATACTTGGACTAAAAAGTGCTATAGTTTGGCAAATATGTGCAACAAAGCTGTTTATAAATGTATCAGCTGATAAGCTGTGCAGGAGGTGCAAAATATTAGTCAGACAATGCGTAAAAGTTCTTACAAAATTACTACAAAATATGGAAGGAAGCAGGGAAAAGAAGAAAGAGACAGACCGATGAAGGAAAAGGAGGGAAGGAAAAAATCCTTAAAGTTGTAAAGAAGACTTTGTTTTTCCGTCCATTGTAATGTCGCTCCGTTTTTTAGGTGGTGTTCATGTCAAGAAGAAATAAACTTTAGAGTTCTCAAAGTTCTGACTGCATGCTTTGTTATTATCAGCATTTACTTGTACGTTTACTTTGAATACTTAAGTACTTTAAATATCATGAATATCAGCAGAAGTCTTCTCTCGCAAATGGGTTCACAGGTTTCCATTAGTTTCACATATTTTAGCAC